GTTCAATCGATCGTTAGATTTCTAGAGTAACTCATTCATAAAGTAATCACCAAATTAGCTTAAGGATACATGGTAACTCGTACGTGAAGCAATCACCAAATTAGCTTTAATTCTATGCTAAAAAATTCTATGATACATAGTAAGAAGTATCTGCCAAGAGTGGTGAAGCAAAAGTGAAAAATACACTCAATACTACATTTGAGGTGACTCGTTCTGGTGCCACATAATTTACTCACTCTCTCGCTTTATGTATTTTAGGAAGAAAAAAAGCTAATAAAGTGGTGAAGCAAAGACAGATTAATATCATTTCCGTTTCTTGATAATGGACAAACACTTCTATCTTACTTGTGTTTTTTTAAATTAGAAAAGATGAAAATAGTAGTTTTGAAATCCCTCAATTATTAGGGGTTCAGTAAGATTTTTCGTCTAATATGGATTATCGATTTCATATTTCAAAACTATTTAAAAAATATACAACAAAACTACAAAATAAGTTAAAACAATTTCAAAAATAACAAAATTTAGAAACAATAAACAGCAAACACTACATATGATAATAGCAAAAGTACATATAAGTTCATGAGCGATAGTTAACCATAAGAAAATAACCAAAGTCCTAAACAATAGCGGAAAAGCAAAATAAAAAATAAGTGGAATTAAATTATAAATATGTTTTTCTTGGGCTTTAACTCGGCCCAAAAATCGCAGAACTCCCAAGATGTCGGAATAGTGTTGACGGTGTCGGTAGATGTTTTTGCTGGAATGTATGAAATCATTACATTAAAACATCCTCTGTTGTGCAAAGACATTAAGAACTGGGCATAATCAGCATCACCCGAAATGACAAGGATGTTAAGGGGCGCAAACGTGCCACCCACCTAGTTGGTAGCTGGAGACATTATCTCTCTGCCACGATATGGAGACAACACATCTAATATAATATTTTAAGGTTTCTTCAAAACCAAAGTTATGAGAGGCTGCCATGTGCCATCTAATTTTTTGACTTTTGGCTTTTTAATGTATTTATTAAAAAAATGAAAATTAAATGTCTTTTAATAAATTTATCAATTACTTTTAACAATTTAATATGTAATTCTTATGTAAATTAATTTTAACAAATTACATTTAAGTATCTTTTGCACAGTTATGTAATTCT